CAGTTGCCCCCAACTGCCCATTGTCCAAGTTACTGTTGCAGTGTCACAAATCACTTCCACAAGTTAGTAGCTTGAAAAAACCATTTTATTTTGTTCATGTTTCTGTGGGTCAGGAATTTGGGATACTCCCATGGGCAGCCCCCCTGCTACTGCGGTCACTCGTCGGCCGCATCTGCAGCCATCTGCAAACTCAGCTGGGCTGGACATCACAGGTGATGCACGTACACAGCTGGCGGTTAGTGCTGGCTGTCAGCTGGAAGCTCGGCCCGGCCACCGGCCGGAGCACCAGCGGTCTCAGCGGCAGCTGGTCCCCTGCATAGAACCAGGGGGAAGCTTCACAGCATGTTCTGACCCAGCCTCAGAGTTGCAGTGTCGCTTCTCACTGCTGCCATATTGTTTGTGAGCCACTACGGTTAGCCCAGATTCAAGGGAAGAAAGCATCAATTCCACCTCTCCATCAGACAGTGTAAGAATTTACAGAAACACTTTAAAACCAGCATACCCACCAAAGTGGAGTTGACTTAAGTCTTACGATGATCAGACACCCAGAATTAGCGGTTGATGTTTTGGTGAAACGAGAACATCTCACCCCGCCCCCCGTGCACTTACTCTCCATACCCTGTCTCTGGCAATTGCAGCGGTAGCGTGGCAGGTGGAAGGAGACGGGTATGAAATGATGCGGGGTGGTAGGGACAGCCAATGAGCACTGTTCCACTCCCTCAAAAAGTCCACCTAAGCTCCTTTTCGTTTATGCACATAGCCCCCCAGTTGCACACATACAAGCATCATTATTTACTTAGTGCCTACTATGTGCCTGACACTGCTGGTTGTGTGTGCAAGTTCCCTGTGTTCAGAGGAGTTAGAGGGAGGTGAGCAAGAAGTGTGGCCAGGCAGGAGTAAGAGAGCATCGCAGGTGTCAGGGAGACGAGAGTCCGTTTCAGAATTTGGGCTCCCACTGGAATGGGAGTGGTGAGGGGTTTGTGTACAGGAATGGCATGATCTGCATTGCATTTTAATAGGTGTGCTGAGATCTGGCTGGTAGGGCAGGGGCAGGATTGGGGAGACAGGTTGGGGGCTGCTTGAGCAATCAGTGGACGGGGGACTGGACCACGGTTAACTGCAGCTGAGTGGTGAGAAGTGTTCGGGATCATTCGAAGGTACAGCAGACAGGCTTGTGCTGAGACGTGTGTCTCCAGGTTTGCCCATGTTTCCAGCAGACATTTACAACTTAGGATTCACTTGATTGGTTAACTGATGTGACTCCTGAAGCAAAAGATGTCTGATTCACATCCGACCACAAAATACAAGCAATATAAAAGTACATTCATAACTTGGAAATAAAGCCCCCAAACTACTTGAGCAAAGAATTGTTTTTACACAAGTAAATCCACAAATGAACAAATTTCGGTTTGACCATAAGCTTTTTCCTCTCCCTTTCTTCCTCTTTTTAGTACCGTGAGGCGTTAATTCAACCAGATGTCCCCACTTATTTACCGAACTTGCTCTCCAGTGAGTTCCTCCGGCTCCAGGAAACAGCTCCATGAAGTGCACATACATAATGTTTTGTACACTCGGCCTAAGGCGGCATTGTCAAAGGACGGGAAGAACATGCCTAGGTGTGCGCTCTGATCTGCTGAATAAATACATGAAACGCAGCAAAGACCTAGAGAATCAAGGAGCTGATGAGTCTTTTGAGGGCTGAGCAGGTCTTGTGTGGCAGACACTCAGGACAGAGACAGAGAGGCTGGTCCCGGGCAGAGCTGTGGGCGAGAACCAGAGCTGGTGAGCGGGCCCTCGCCATGTGCATGTCGAGTCCGTGACATGAGTGAAAGCGTGGGATGGGTCCGGAAGAGTGGTTTAAACATAGTTTTTCCTACCATCTACGCTTAGATGGTAAGTAGAAAATAGACAGGCGGAGGGCCAGAACGGCACAGGAAATGTAGAAGCTAAAGAACGTATGCCACATGGGCATGAGCTAGAGGGCGGGATGTGGGTGGGAGGGGGTGTGCAGGGGAGGGGGATGGAGGGGGGTAATGGGACAGCTGTAATAGCACAATCAATAAAATACTAAAAAGAAAAAAAACATAGTTTTTCCTTTCTGTGACTTAAGGTATCTTGAATTCAACAAACTGCGCCATCATGCAAACTCTGTCATCACAGGATTAACTAAAAGAATTCACGACGATGGAAATATCCAGTTGTTTGCCATTGTCTGGTCAAAACTTAACATTACATTTATTTAATAAGGCAATGAGACCTGTAATTCTGAAATATTAAAATCATATGACTGTTTTGTGACTGGATTAGTTTGGTGTGATTTTCACGGTAGAATCTACAGGCTATTGGCTACTCCTACGTGTTACAGGGAGAGATGTCAGTCCCTGTCAATGAAGTGTGTACAAGTTTAACAGCCATACTTTAGAAGAGTGATTCCTTAAGTTATTTCCAATTCACTAGCTTGGTTTTGGGATAACTCTATATTCTTTACTGTGCATTAATGTTAATATAGTTCAGACAAAAATACAATGCACTTTCTGAAAGAAATTCTGTAACAGTTCCAAAAGGACTTAAGAATAGTCGAGTATCATAAAATACAGATTAAGGACCACTGCTCTTTAGAACGTATGGGGAATGAATGATCGGAGGTATGTCATCACAGAAGCCACCTGTCAACACTGCCATTGATTTATGATCCCGGAAAAAAAAAGGGTGAATGGACTTCTAAGGCCCCACTTGTCCTTAAACTCTAAGTTGTGGGCAAATCTGCCATACTGCCATTGCTAATGGGTGTCAAGAAATTCCTATTGCTTTGTCTTTCTCCAGAATGTCAAATTCGGGATCTGCAATTTCTCTCAATATGAAAGAACCAGATGGGAACTAGAAAAGGAACAGGGGCTGTGAGGTCAGGCAGAGCAGGGCCTGACTCTTCAGTCCTCCGCTTGGCTTTGACCTGGGAAATGCTCTCTCGGGCTCCACTTCTGTACTACAGATGATGAGACTGCAGCCACGGAGGTGACCCCAGAATGCACGGCTCCACTTTCATAGGAAATCACACAGTGTGAATAAACTTGCTAAGGGATGGTTTGTGTGCGTAGTGAAATGACTCACAGAGAGATCAACATACAGTCAAGGAGACTCAGGGACTGAGAGTGACAGATAGGAAAGAAAGCGGAAACTCAAGGACCTGGGCATGTCTTTACAAATGGATCATCATCTAGGTGGACCCTAAGGAAGGAAAGCCAGAACCAAGAACTCACTGGGGTGTTTCCACTTTCCGATGACGTGAGGCCAGCTGACTCTCCAGCAGCCTTGGCGATGAGCCCCGGAGGTTGTCCCGACGGCACTGAGATCACCCAGCCTTTCTTCCTCTGCGTCCTGGTCCTCTCAACAGCCTTCGAAGGGCGACTTGGGCTCTCTCTAGACCGTCCTACAGACACTGGGGTCTGCCTGGCAGATAAACTTCCCGTTGTAAATTAATAAACTGGAATTCCACATATTATGACTCTAAGATATGCCTTTCTATCACCTAGTCAAAGGAACAAATTCCATTGTTGGTGAGGACATGAAGGTATTAGCAATAAAAATAAAAGGCCTGCAATATGCATGTTCTTGACCTAGCAATCCCCACTTCTAAGAAAATAATTGGAAAAGCAAGCAGGGATGAACATGAAAGTATGCTGAATTTAGTATGGTTAAATACCTAGTGCTTTATATTAAAATTATAAATATTCTAAAAATGTGTAATCTAATTTTGACATGGGACTTCTGATACTCACGGTGGTTCAGCCACATAATGGAACAATGCAGCACCGCTGTCCAGGCCAGATTACGCTGCAGGTAAAACACACACCCATCCGCCCACCTCCGCAGACAGACACAGCAAAGATTTATCTTCCCCTTACGCAAAGTCCACTGGAGACCCAGGGAAGCTGGATTCCGCGGGATGGCTCGGGGTCCTACTTCTCTACCAACATGCGCTTCTGGGACTGCCCAGGCTGGGTCTCTCACCTACAGTTAAATGCTTCTGCCCGCACTTCATTGGCTAAAGCAAGTCACACGGCCTGAGCTGACCTCAAAGAGCTGGAGACAAGCAATCCCTGTGAGTGAGTGCTAGCCAGGCAGGGAGCTCACGTCCACTGTGACCCGTGGAGAACCACAAGTGCTCACACGGAGCCCCACTCCGCGGCAAGGCAAACCACCGTGATGTTCGGCTAGCAGGAAAAAGCACGGCCCACTGAAAACATACCCTAGGAGCATGCGTTACGTAGGTACACACACATTTAAAAAGACACCAGAAAGGTATGCAGCCTAAGTTTAGCAGTGTTTTCTCTGAGTAGCAGGGCTAAAGGTTTTAAAAAATCTTTTTTATATATTTTTTGGTATTTTTTTTTTACTTTCCTTCTCTATTTATTATAATAAACTCATTATTTTGAGGATGAGAGAAAACAAAGCTCTATCTCTTTAAAGGTGTAGTCAACTGCCATTCTGGTGGGCAAATCCACCTCTTGCCAGGTGAGCCCAGGAATCCCTTGTCCGCTGTCAGAACCACCTGTGTTCCCGACACAGCAGCCGTGAGGGGGGGACTGGGGCGCGGACCCCTATGTCTCTCCAGGGCCCAGTGCACTCTGAGGACCGGGATCTCCCGAGCCACCTGACTCCAGGGCTTCACAGACTGTAAAAGAGACCGTCATTCCCACTTCCCTTACATAAAACACGCACCACACACTAGCACACGAAGGCAGGCGGCGTGAAGAAGGCGTTGCTTTCAAGTCAGACAGCCAGACTGAGAGACAGACAGGATCTTCTTGGTTGCCTCCTACGTAAATGGGGACAATGATGACGGGCAGAAGTGGTGCCAGGCCTGGATGACACACATTTGGTGGGGCGCCCGGCACACCAGGCGTGCCGAGCACAGGGCGGCTACAACTATACACACAGAAGCTGCTCTTGCTGCCCTGTGTCTGGACCATACATGACAAAAGCGAAATCAAACAACAGAGTAACAAGCAAGGAGTATTTTATTGTACGTATTTTCTGAAAAAAGAAAACCCACAAAAACAGAACCCACAAAGAGGAGCAAAGACAAAATTTTCTAGCTCTCTGGGATCCGCCGGGCACTATGTCTTTATGGAAACATTGCTTGTACCGGGAAAAAACGTGCTAGTCAACATTGCTCGGCTCCCCCGGTCAAAGGAAGGCGATAGAGAAAAACAGTGTAAGCTGGACTCTGATGCAGATCCGTCGCACACTTCAACCGCAGCTTACTCCTAGAGTTACAGTGTCATAAACCGCAGCACACGGAGTAGACACTCAGCAATCCGCTCACAATGAATAAACACAGCATGTGTCCCTTCTTTGTTCAACCTCACATTTGTAATGAGCAGATGATTTACCATGAATAGTAACTGGTTTCTTACACTTCAAGAGACATCAGATCCAGTAACGGAAGGAGAAAGTAATTGAAAGAAAACTGATTTTTAGAGAACAGCTCCTTGGGTGTGAGCCACTGTGGTACTGATTACAAACTTCGGCCAGTGCCAACAGTTTAAAAACGTGGACACTGACGAACTGGATTCTCTACGAGGAGCCGCCCAGAGCACCACATCTTGTTCACGGCCCCTGGGCGGCGGCACGGCTCGGATGCGGCAAACAGGGACTTCCAACGAAATAAATGATGGCCCCCCCTTCATGTTACAGGGGTATCTCTATCACTTGTGCTATTATTAAATGGCCAATTAAAAACACGTTTAAAATAAAGAATTGGCATTTTCTTATCCCACACCTACGAGAGCTAAACATAAGGATTTTCTCTAACATTCTGTACTTCTGAATCCGTTCGGACAGAGGACCATGAAGAACCAGTAAACGTGACGTGAAGAACTAGTTTAAACGACCTGTTCAAGAGTCATGCGAAGTAAGGCAATAACTGTCAGCGCAGCTGTGCTGTCCTTATGTGCTCAGTCAGTAAAATTGAGAAAATAATTTTTCTGCCCACCTGTATAAAAAATAGTACCCCCTTTGCTACCTAGTGTGTGTCAGAGACAAGACCAGGGTGCCACGTGTGTTTCCAGACAGAAACGCAGCAGGCCCGGGTGGAGAGAGAAAAGTGTCTAGAAACGTCTCTTTCCTTTCTGGATGCCTCGCTCCACTCCCTCCGGGCACACGCGCTCCTCTGATTTCTGTTAGCCTAGCCCCTAGAGGCACCGCCACAAACTTGCGGTCTCTATGGGACACTGGGGCTCCGCATTAAAAATTGCTGAAATAAAAAGAAGTTTGAAAGCTATGGCATCTTCTCAGCAGCTGTGATGCTCTGCTGCTCAGCCTACCACAGACGTTAAAAAAAAAAAAATCACATTTTACAGAACAGAGGAAAACAAAACTGCAGTTCAGCACTTTTCATTGTGGCAAGGAATTGACCACGTTCGGTTTACCGTTGAGGACTTCGTAAGATCCCCAGGATAGCACCTTTGGGTGGGCTGAGCCAGAACTGAACGCACGTCAGCATTCAACACTGCCATTTAAAAGTGACCGTCACTCAATTTTCCTTCCAGATCGTGCTAGGGATGTACATTGTGCAGAAAGCCTAGGAAAAGTTTTTAAAGGAAACAGCATTTTTCAGGTGAGATAGTACAAAAATTACAAGGAGCAACAAAATGCTTCAGTCCTACTTCTGAAAGCAAGCCAGTGTCAAAGCAGATCATTTTAAAACAGGACGCGCCTTACCTCTCCCCCCCTTAGTATGTGAGTCCCTCAGCGTTAAGACATTTCAGTGTGACTGCCTGTCCAGTGTGACAGCCCTTCGCAGCTGCTGTTAGAAAACAGACTGAGTTCCTTAGCTGTATCGTGTATAGTGACGTTGGTCTTGATATGACCCCAACGTAGTAAAGCAGTAGTGAGTTTTTAACAACATCCATTAGGAAGACTAACAAAAATACTGTTGCTATCTTCAAATTTATCCTTAAAAAAAGTAGGTCTCTCTCCATTCACTTCCACAGTCCTAAAGTAATAGAAACATGTGCTATTCTTAAAAACAATCAAACAATAAATATTTGAATATTAAAAGTAGGCGCCCCCTCCCCCCACCGCTTCTCCATCCTGGTACCAAGCGACCAAACCCTTTCGAACACCATTTGATACAACAGATTTTGCAAATTGTTATGAAAGCAGTTTACAAGTTGGGAATTACTGTGCAGGAGCTGGTTAACGCTATTGCTCTGGGTTACCAAAATAACATTAGTTACAAATACAAGTCAACACGGGTTAAAGCGCTTTGGAGTTCTGATCTGAGGCGCGTGTTAAATTGCCACAATGCCACGGGGGCTCACCTTGGAACTAGAAACAGAACATGAGGGCCGGGCTGCTCCGTGGCACGGAAGGATCATTTCCCACCACACGCATGCTGGCAGCTGGGTTGTCCGGCCGTCGTCACTAACGGCAACGACAGAAAGTCAGGCGGCTTCTGTGACTCTCATGGCAGTGGCACCATAGAAATGTTTTGTCCCCAGAGCACACGTGTGGCAGGGGGGCGGGGCAGGGAGAATGTGGACTGCTTTGTTAAAATGGAAGTTTCACAAGTCACTCACAGCAACTGTGAGGTTCTCCCACGGCATACTGCCGGGCAGGAGCAACGGGAAGCGAGCCAGCCAGGTGCTCGGTGCGGATAATGGCCCTGAAGACAACAGGCGTCTTTAACATGTCTGCCCATCGCTAAGTGTAAAGTGTGCTCACACCCTCCAGCACGGGAGGAGGCCCCTGTGGGCTCTGGAGTTCCCGCTGCGCCCCCGCAAGGGACAGAGACAGCCTCCGTTCCCCAGTCTGGCTGCACCAGCAGCCCCGGGCTCCCAGCAGGTCACAGGGGCAGGTGTGTGTGTGTCCTCACAACTGCTTGCAGAGCGTTCTAGGCAGCAGCTCTTGAGTTCACTATTTTTTGCTCTAAAATTCTCATTTGCTAGACTGATCTTTTAGTCCCCATTTGCTCGGTGTTCAGGAGGAAGTCTCGCGGAAGGAGCTCCACTTGTCCGGGAACCACTGAGGACGATCCTCCACCTATCAGACCCCGCAGGTGGTTTCTGCAGGTTCCCCGAAACACACCTTTACAACTGTTTTCTTTTGGAAAGTGTTGATCTATGTTTAAGTGGCCACTGCCTGTTCACGTGATGGTGACTGTGGCGCCACAGGGAAGGGTGGCGTCTGGAGGCTGCCGCCGGGAGGTGTGGACCAGGCCGCCGCAGGTCAGTGCGAGGCAAAGCCGGTGGCCAGGCTGCAGCCCACCACGGGCGTCATGTCCCATATCTGCAAGAAAGAAGACGTGGAGGCCGCACTGGTCACCTGGGTCCCCGGGGCAGCCAACGCCGACACTGGCGGCCAGAGGAACTCATTCTCGTGTTCGCCTCTTTCCCTGCAAAGCTGCCTCAGGATCACAGCAGTAAAACACTAAACGTGCAGCAAGCTCCTAAGTGTCTCCAGACACCTGAAAACTACATCGTAATGATGTCTCCACTGGGAAAAAGCCCATTTTTAAAAATTATGAAATAATATATGTCATGGTCTCCCAGCTCAAGAGTGGTACTAATTATAAAAGAGTTACTTTCAGTTTCTGTGTTAGTAGTCCAGGGAATTGATGAAAAAAAGGTGTGTGGTTACTTCTTACAACTAGCAGCCTTCTGTCCCCAGTGGAAGGAACTTGAGCACGGGAAGGAATGACTGCAGTGAGGGCTCCGCTACGGGGTCAGGTGGGCAGGGGGCAGCCCCGGGCTGGCTCAGCCAGGCAGCGAGGGGGAAGGGGGGGCGCGTGCCAGGCCAAGGGAAATGCCTCAGGATGAGCCAAGGCCGAGAGCATGGAAACTCACAGGCATGCCGTTTGTTACCTTGGGCTTTCAACTGGCTGCAGGTTGCTTATAAAAAGGGAAGGCAAGCTTGCCGATCGGAAGGTGAGACCGGCGCATAGAAATGGCGCATAGAAATGTCCCGCGCCCGCCCGCAGCACGACGAGGGAGCAGTGTGCACCGAGCTGCTGACTGGGACAGCGGAGCAGGTTACCTTCACGATGCGGTCGGTCCCACAGGTCACCATCAGCCCCCTGGCAACGTCCACGGACATGTGGGAAATGTTGTGTTTTCCTTCATGGAAGGTTGCGAGAGAAGTCCGACTGGCAAAGAGAAAAGAGAACATTGAGGATGCACCTGGGGCGAAGGGACACGCTTTCCTGGCCACGCAAAGGAACTACAGTCGCCCCTGAGCACCACGTGTGACTGCGTGGGTCCACTAACACGCAGGTTTTTTTTTCAGTGAGCACACATAGTACTATAAATGTTTTTATGATTCCTCAGGGAATTATAGTTTTCTCCATAGCATTTTCTTTTCTCTAGCTTTATTGAAAGAACACAGTATGGGATACACATAATGTACAAGATGCGTGTTAAACAACTGCTTATGTTATTAGTAAGGCTTTCCGTCAACAGGAGTTGGGGTTTTGGAGAGTCAAAAATTAATCGTGGATTTTCAATTGCCAGGGCTTCCACACCCCAAACCCCTGTGTTATTCAAGGGTCAACTGTACCTGTAATAATTGTCTTAAAATTTGCTCCCCAAAATGTGGTTACACTGAAAACTAACTTTGTAATTCAAGGATAAAAAAAAGCATGGTAAGTTGTAAGACTCTTTCATGAAGGATTTATAAAACACCCCCAATGACTGTTTTTGTTCTGTTTTGAGTGGAAAGGTCATATGTCCCGAGACACAAAAGCGAGAACCTGTAATGCAGAAGAGGAACTGCCCCGGAGAGACCATGCCGCGCGGGCACACACTCACAAGAAGGCAGGAGGCTTCCCCCAGACCCCTCTGGCGTCCGTCCAGGGAGCAGCACTCTGCTCTGAAGCCCGCAGGCCCAGCCTCCACGCCAAGCTCACCGACCAGCGCCGACAGTGCCCACCAGCTTTCCAACCCGGGCCTCTGCCAACGTTTGCCCGTCTACTGCTCTCCAAGATGGTTCAAGGGTAAGGGAGAGAAAATGATGGTTCTGCCCTAGTGGGTCTGCCTGAGGCAGGACAGAATGGGGAACAGACAGAGATGTCTTAACACGAATAGTTAGTTAAGAACAGAGTGCTGGGTCGGATCTTTGTGGGAGGAAAAACAACTGGTCCCCAGTAATTAAATCTCCATGTATGTGTGAGCAAAGATGAGAGATGCTTTTGGAGAGAACCAGCTCAGCCACTGCACCCGTGTGCACGTGGCCTTGACCCCGTACAGCACCCTGAATGGCCTGGGGGCTCAAGAATGTCCACTGGACAGCTGAGCCGGTCCCAGCAATGTCACCCCTTGCAGCGTCTGGGAGAACTCTGTCTTAACCCTCCCCGGAGAAATCATTTGGCACTGGGAAGAAACACACACGGAGACAGAAGGGGATCCACGTGTCCTCCCACTGCAGATGCACAGTCAGGCCGAGACAGGCCAGCACTCACTCCTCGTCCTTGATGGAGTCGTAACAGGAGTCACACATCCGGACCTGGAACTCGAAGCCCATGACGGGGTAGCTGGAGCGCTTGCTGCTGCACTTCCCGCAGACAGCCTGCCCGCACTTCCTGCAGTGATGCTTCAGGTCAAGGGACCGGAAGGAGGAAAAGGAAGGAGGAAAAGGGAGGCGTTAACTTTGGCTTTGATGCCTGTGGTTTCCCTTCAGAGTAGGGGAGTGGATGGGGTGGGGTGACTTGCCTTGAACTATAATTAATACCAATTCCCTGTAGCAATTAACAGGCAAAAGGTAGACAATTTCAGTATCTAACAAGGATTTCCAGACCACCTGACTATATTGGTCAAATACTGCTTCTTGTTCATTCATATTATGTGTTCATATCAACAACCATTATTAAAATCAAGTTCAAGTTCACTTAGAAGCCCAAATGACTAGAGATTTCAGGAAGGAAAAAAAAATCTATTCTGGGTCAAAAGAAAGTTACAAAAAAGGTTTTAAATGTAACATACCCTCATTAAGAAACCAACATCCATAATTAGATGTTTTACTATTTCTTTTAGTCTTTCACATTGTGACTCTGGAAATAAGCTTCAAGAATGTTCCAAAATGGCCCAGTTACTACTGATTGGGACATACAGGCCACTAAGAGGCCTGTGCATTTCCTCTCTTAGTTGTTAACATGTAACACTAAAGTTAATTTCCTTTACGAGTAGGGACTTCTTCGCCCATCAGTCACGATGCACTAGTTACCACCACACATGCACTGTGAGAACTAGGCTAAGGAAACAATTCAGGTGCTATTTTCAGAGGATTAGAAAGTTTTTAAGTGCTGAAAGAATTCCTGCATTGCCTGACAGTCTCATACAAGACCTTGCTGGAGAAGAGATTTGTAAGTAGAATCAAAGAAAGTCTATTACCACACACACACTCTAGGCCAATCCTTCATAGAGGTGCAACCAGTAATAAAATACAATCAGCCTTCTTTCTCTATTTACTTGCACAAATTCATATGAAACCTGAGTGAGTGGCTACCTTCATGTCTTCTGTAGAATATGTGTATATATATATTTTGTAGAACTTTAGTATTAGTGATAAGAGCATCATTGAAATGTGCAGGCTATTTGGGACATGATTCTTTAATTTATAAAATAAAACATAGTACTTGCAGCATGCTTAATAAAAGTATGCCAGGCAGATTGATGTGGAACAATTCAGGACTGATCTAAAATTACTAGTGTCACCGTATCTGCTTGTGGAGGCATGAGCTCGCATACCCTAACTCATTTGAACTCAGTGCTTAGTGAGTACGAAAGAGCGACTTGAACAGCGGTCCTGAAGGGAAAGACCTGTATCTGCTCTCAAGCGGGCTCTCGGGCTTTCTGTGCCCCCCGGCTCCTCCGGTGCGGGATGGGCGGCAGTGGGACAGCTAGGGGACAGTCGCGCCGGCCCCAGGGAGGGTCTCACACACTACTGCCAGACAATGATGGTGACATCCGAAAGCACGAACCAGCAGCATGTACAGGGACAGAGTGATTCCGGACACGACGGCAGGCCGACCCGACCGCACAGCCGACAGAGGACGGGACCCACCCGCCGGCTACGCACCTGTCTCAGCCCCAGGGTCTTCGTGTCCCACATCTGCTTTATGTTCCAGAAGAAGGGCTGCTCGCACTTCTGGCAGGAGTCGCTCTCTAGCCACTGGGGGGCCTGGGGAGGGGGAGACGGGGCCGAGGTCAGGGCGGCCGCGCACCTGCCGTGGCTGTTCGGGAACCCACGCGGCCGTGCTGGCTGTGCTGAGGGTGGCGTTTTAAAAATCCTCGATATGTTACAGCTATTGCCATACTCGACATTATGTTTGTGTTTGGAGTCATCTTTATAATTTTAGTAATGTCTGCAGGATTGGTCAATTTTCAATCTAAAGGTAAGAGGAAATCATTCAATCTTCACTGTGAACTCTTGGAGCTGTCTTTGTAATATAATTCTTTTTTACGGCCAACTTATTTGAAATCTTCAACCACTTGAGCAAAAAACCATTTTTTTTTTTTTTTTGCAGAATCTGGCAAACTACCACTTGGGGCAGCTTGTGGTTCCCAAGGTGACAAACAGGAGGCTCCTCTGGGTGGGGCCACACCTGCCAGGTTTCCCGCCCTCCCCCCCCTTCTGGGCTCTCCCCAGTGGCTCCCCCACCCTGTGCCCCATCCCACGGGCCTGCAGACCCCACCCAGCAGTGAACTCTCTACGGTAATTCTCTATGAACGATTCTCCCTCCCCTCCCCACCCCTCCCCACCTATGAGTTACTAGTTGGTCTGGTTCATCTTTATATACGTACAGCTTGTCACGGAGCAGATTCTCAGTGAGTTTTTGTTGAAACAGGGCAACTTAAGTCTCAACATTACTGTCTTGAAAACTTAGAAACTATTTCTCTAAACCAAATGTGACACACGGCCCTCAGCCACAAGATCAATCTGCAAAAAGCCCATTTACTGTCAGTTACCATTACGTGCTGATTATACGGTGTGCCGGAAATAAAAAGAGAAAAAACGAACTTCTATAAATTAAACCAAATAGAGATCATTAAGTAAGAAACCACCTTGAACTTGGAGAGTTAACAGTCGAGAGAAATACATGTGATCGGAGGGGACCGCAGCGGGGGGACCGCAGACGCGGAATCACACCGGCCCGCCGAACACCACGCGGCGGGGACGGCGAGCCCCACGGAGGCTGGCAGGCCGACTCTGCAGAGGACCAGGGCGCCTAGTTCTGTGTTTCCCGCTGGGCTGAAAGTGCTGGCTCTCCCACTTCTCATCTTAGACGCGGCACTGGAACTGCTCCCACCTGTGCCAGCCGCTCCAAAGGCCATCCTCCGTTCGGGGAGCGGTGCCCTCACGCACAGAGTGAAGGGGTGAGCTAGGAGAGAGTTCTCTAAGTAACGGTGGCAGTGTGGGGGGTCCGAGGGCGGGCAGGAGGGGCGAGGAAGACTCCTGTCCTCGGGCAGGGGCGCTGCTTGTTGCTGTGACCCACGGGAGAGGGAAGGTGGTCTGGGTTTGGGAACGCCACCTGTGAGCGATGTCCCCCAGGGGCAGACGACACGGCAGGTGCTGCTGCCGCCAGCGTGGGGACGTCCAGTCGCAGGGGAAGGAAAGCAGGTACCGGTGACCAGTTTTGAGTTGGGGACACACACCAGTTGTGACTCCCACGTACCAAACAAACGTCACGTGGAACCAAACAGAGTGTAAGATGAGTTCCAGAGAGCACCCTTCGGGTACGGGGACACAGCTCTGGTGGCTGTGAGGATTAACCGAGTTACCTTCCGTGAGGTGTTCACACAGTGCCTGGCATAAAGCAAGCACCGTGCAAGTCCCGGCAGTGTGCCAAGTGTTTTATATGCCTTACTTCACTTAATTCCTGCCACAAGCCTAAGAGATACAGAGCAACAGTTTACAGGCCCAGGGGTTGAAGCAACTGTCCGTGGTCAGTGAGTGGGTGGAGATCCCGGGAGCCCCAGGGTCCCAGCCGAGTCCCTGCCCTTGTCCAGGACACTACGCACACACTGTCTATGGGTCCCCCCAGTTCCCACGTGGGGGGGTCTCTACGCTTGGCTCTGGGATAGGACAACCGACAGACCTGAGTCCCTGCCCTCGGGGAGTGCAACTCTGTTAAAGGGTTTAGGCAACACCTTCACTGTGCTGAGCTGGAGGGCAGAGGGGCACGTGGGAAGCAAAATGTGCTTAAAATAATTTGAGAGAAACTAAAAGCCAAAGTCGGAAAGAAACAGGCTTTTGGCACATGTGTAGTGTAAGAAATACTCGTAACTTTGTTTCTTTTAACAGGATTAAGAGCCTGCCGTAAGCCGTCAGGAGCCATCCTGTCACATGCTTCTTCTCCAAAGAGAAAACTTCTCTAAAGTGTTCTGTGCTGAGGACAGAGTGTCCACCAAGCATCCCGGCCGTTCCCCTCCCTTTTCCGCCTCTGGTTCCATCTGCCCAATCTGGACAGAGAGGCTGCAACGAGCACGACGCCACAGCACCGCTGCTGGCCTGCGCTGCACCAGGGCATGAACTGTCACGCACTCTGCGACCCGCTAGTTTAAAACGCAGTTCTCTTTCCCAGAGGATTCCTTCTCGTTATTGCGACCTGCTCATTTGCGTCTCACGCCTACTTCCAAAGAGGAGCCCCTCTGACTAGGGCCTGGCAGGCAGGCAGATCTGCTCCTGGCCTGTGAGTGTGGTTGCTGGCAGCCACCGTGGGCCGGGCGGGCTGCGGCCGGCCTTCCAGGTGACTCGGAAACCCAGGCGGGCATCGTGGGGCCAGAGAACCCGGGGCTAATCCGCCGTGTCCCTGCCTAATTGTACAAAACTCTGACTCAGGGTCAGAGTCGTACACAGCACCGGCTGCTTAGTTTTGCACTAATACTTATTCAGCTAGTTAAAAAAAAATTACCAAAAATGATGTGCCTTTTTGGCATAAATTCCTTTCCCACCAACACTGCCAACCACTGAGACAGATAAGCTTGTGGGAAAAACATGATTTGGGATGATGTCTTGTAAAGAGACTAAAAAAAGAGAAAACTGCCCATACAGGAAGCACCCTGAATAATGGGAGTGTCCCTTCTTTCCCTAGATGTACAAATAACTCCTAACTACTTTTTCTAAGAGAACTGAACCAAGGATAAGGATAGTGGGTTGAAATCCAAGTTGTTAAGACCTTGGAAGAGCCACGAGTAGCCACTGGACCCCATGGTCTCCTCCCTGAAGACCCAGGGAGCACATCCTCCCAGTTCTCCACGCTCAGAGTAGGGCTGCCACATGACAGGACAGTAGACCAGCTGTCCTTGATGTCTACGGCTAGCAGCTGATGAATATGTAACACAGTTCAATAAATCTTTGCAGAGAAAGTCTGACACGTTCTGTAACATTAACCAATGTTACACGTGTTTCATACCAAGTTACTCTAAGCCCTACCCAAAGATTTTTAGAAAATTCAAGAAAGGAATTAAGCAGTGAACATGTGATCAAGATTTCCTCTACCTGACTTACAAGGTCACTAAAAACAAACAAACAAACAACAACAACAAAAAACTAGCAACTGGTACTTATCCATATCATGGGCGGTGTTACTATTTATAGGACAGTGTATTTCTATCACAAGATTACAAGCTGCTTGCAGGCAAGAACCTTTGTATATAGAATACGGTAACCATAAAGTCTGGAACTAAGCAACATCAGTATTTTTTTAATGGCTTGTCCCTCTTTGATGGCATCGTTTGTGGTGAGCTAAAGATGCACATGTATTCAGTGAGGATCAGACTCACAGGTAATCACGGGCCACTCAGAGCAGACCCACGCCCAGGATGCTGGAAACCCCGCGTCCATCCCCGGCGTGCACTGCATGGTGTCCAGCACACTGATCCACAGGCTGCGTATGGGTCAGGGTGACACCCTGACCGACCCGTGTGTCACCAGTCAGCACAGCGTGCACTGCGAGGCACTGTCAATCAACCACACGTGGGGTACATCCACTGGGTTTGTAGCCCACCCCGTAGGCAGGTGCTCAATAAATGTTTCTGTAGTCAATCCCTAAGTCCTTAACGTTCCTCTACGCTCACATCTTGTCTGGAGCCAACTCTTGCTATGTATGCCACAGGCTGTCCCTGTCGTTTGGAAAAGACAGATGCTCCCCACGCTAGCAGAGACAAGAATGGAAATCCTGCCTGGAAATCATCTGACAACATCTATAAAAAGCCTTAAGATTGCACATACATATCCTTGGCCCAAAAGGTCTGTTTTCAGAAATACGTTTGCAGTAAATATCTGAACAATGACAAGGTCAAGAATGTTCACTGCAGCATTATTTAAAATAAAAAAGACAGATGGGTTAGACAGCTGGAGTGTCTGCTAAAGAACCGAAGGGGCCTTAGAAGTCACCTCATTCGACTAGTTCACTTTGTGGAAGGGGGACCAGAGACTCGGGGAAGTTACCGCACCCATCTAAACAAGGCCCCACGACTCGTCAGAGGCCCAAACAAGGCAGAACTCAGGTCTCCTGAGAAGAACACTGTGTCGACATGGGCTCCGTGGAACAGCACTCAGCGGAAAATAAAAGCAGAGAATGGAGACATATTTTTCCAGAAAAACGCCAGGCGCCAGCTGTGTCCCTGCTGCAGCCCCCTCAGAGTTTCCTGACGGGTCTGCTGCTCGAGCGCCAGGTGCAGCCGCCCCTTGGACGTGCTGGAGGCTGTGCCAGTGTCCCCTCGCTGTGCTTCTCGAAGCTGAAAGCCAGCCAGAACGCCCAGCCTGTGTGCATTGCCTGCTACCGTGCAAACTCCCATGAGCAGAGGATGCAACGCAAAGTGACATGCAGCACCGTCTGCACCTGGGCGGGCATTTCCGGCTCCTGGGCGAGGAGCCAGGAAGCCAGGATCTTGGGGGTGTCCCCTCGTCAGCCCGGCCTGCTCCTCCTCCTCTTACCTCCTCTCTGCTGACGTCCATGTTCCACACGGCGATCCCACCGTCCGAGGAGCAGGAGACGAGCTGCCTCGTGAGCTGCAGGTAGCACAGCGACTGCACCCGGTCACTGGGGACAACACAGACCCGCACCCGCGTCAGTGTGGGGGCATGGCAACCCTTCACTCCGTCAACCCTGTGGGCTGCTCTCTCCCCCGGCCAGAATCGGCCCCTGGCATGTTATCACTGGCGCTCTGGTGTGGTACCATGGATTCGAGTGCGAACTGCCTGGCATTCTGTAACTCACTAGAGAGAATAACAGGGTCTATGAAACAAGCACTGCTTCCAAGTCGGTGGTCAAGAACCGCAGGTCAGAGATGGGAGGATGCCAAGTGTCGCAGACCAAGCACCATCTCCTTGTCCGGAGCCCAAGATTTACGTGCCCGTTCAGAACCAGAGCAAAGGAGGCGCGCCTCCCTTACTGGAACACGACCACAGAACAGGTGATCACACACGCTCACACACATGCTCACACACACACACACACACGTGCACTCTGGGTGCCCTGGGAAGCAATCCACTGCCTGTGGGCCTGTGTGGAGAATCTTTCCTTGGCTACTTTTTGGCTTGATTCTGATTGTGGTCAACAGCAACAGCCTAACCACCAAGGAGGGAAGGTTCCCTTTTCCTTTCAGTATGACTCGGCAAGAGCCCCGAGTATCACGACGTCACAGCTCAGGCAGCACGACTGTGTCAAACCGGACCTTCCTTCTTCAGGAAACTCATTTTAGAATGGAAGAAAACAAGCTGGGCACCCAGCCTGAGAAGGACGTAGCACCCCATCACACACAATCTTCCGGCCCAAGTTCCCCCCGAGGCCCCTCACCTGGAGCAGATTTCCACCGGGTGACTCACTGGGAAGGAAAGGTGGGACATGCTCTTCGGACCACGAAGGAAGCAAACCCTGTGCCCTTCCCCCCCCCTTTTTGCCACAGAACACCAGACATCAGGACTAACAGAAAAGCAGTTAAAACTGGATTTGGTGAGCCGTATCGAAAAACTGTGTGTTTCCCCTGCCTTCCGCAAACTCAGATTCCGCCCCCCACCCCCACCCTCCGCCCACCACCCCCACGAACAGTCACGCACTGATGGCCCTGGAGCAGGAGCGTGCGGCCTTTCCTTCCCCCGATGTCCCACATGATGATGCTGTGGTCGGACGCTCCGGAGAAGAGCAACCGCTGGACAGGGTCCCACCAGAGACAGGCGATACTACCTGGGGGTCAGGGGGACAGAGGGAGAGAGAAAGGAAGGGAGGGTGGGAGGGAGGGAGGGGAGAGGAGGGGGCAAGAGCGGATGGAGAGAGATGGGGCCGGGTCGGGGGAGAGGAGAGCGGTTAAATCCAACTGTGTTAGGTCACACGCATCTGACAGCTGAAGACCTGGCTGGCACAGCCGGGTCTTTCAGCAAAACCGTGTCTTTGCCGTACAAAGGGCCATTCAACACTTTGTCACGAGTCATGGGGAAGGCACAGCACACCCATTCTCACGGGCTGTAACATTAAAACCTTCAGCTGTACATCCAATTACTTTAAATGCGGAGATGTTCAAATAAAGTTTTCCTTGTCCCGTACCACAAAATTACAAACAGCTGCGTATGAAGGGTGCCTATGTTTAAGAAAACTAAGTGCCTCAAAAAAGAAAGCTTTGCAGGTAAACCAAACAATTTTACCAGAGAATTTAGATTAAAAAATCCAAACCGTACATTTCACACTCTATATTGACTAAACTTATCAAATTAGATACCCTTGGGGAAATCTTTCTTTTTACAGATTTCCCTTTCAACAGATCTCATCATTATGCTTCTTGCCTAAAAGAAAATGATCGATAAACTTAATGAAATTGAACCAGTCATTCAAGCTAATATTTTTGGTGGATATATAGCAAATGAAGGAAGCCATATTCAAAAGCAAACAAGAGAACTGGTTTCTCACAGAAACCCGTCGGAAGTGGGAGAAAAAAGCTCTCTGCAAAACCGGCTTCAGGGATGATTCCGTGTAAACCCTGACCCTGTTTGAACCTATGCCCCGCACACTTCAGCCAGGGGCCCAATGGCAGACAGAGATCTTTCCATGCGAACACAGTCGCCACAGCCCAGAGAGCGCTGGCGGGCCTGGAGTCAGGGTCACGAGAGTATTAGTCATGAACGGAAAGGGGTGTCTTCTGAGGCTGGGCTTTCCTGCCCACATCTATGCTCACTCACTGCTCTTCTCGCCCCCTCTCCCCTGCAGGGCCCCGGTCTGACTGACTGCATTTCACCTAAATAGACTGTCAGTGTGGAGAACATTCCAATTGCTACACTTAAGACACTATTTCCATGCAACTCCATCATTAATTCTTTTCAACAATTCCCCAGTTCGTCAATCCAAACCAGATGGCCTCAAAGCTTCTAATCTGTTGTTACCCAATACGGCCAACGGGGCTTTAAAACCCTTTCCTGGAGCCTCGCCAGCTCACCGCACGGCAGAAACAATGAAGTCCCACCGGGTCACTCTTGTCCCTCAGTCCCCACCCAGGGGGGTTTCCCAAGCAGAGGCCGAACCAGCCCACACGTTTCTTCCAATTGTATTGGCCCACTAGGTGGGTCTCGTTCAGTGTCCCACAGACGGACAAATTAAAGATAGTAACAACATCCTTACAAAGGTTTTACCATTTACGAGAAATTTTAAAAGGTCTTTGGAAAATAATTAATTGGAAAATGAAAACAAAGTAGCAAGTGTTACGCACACAAGCAATCTAGATTTTGCCAACACGGAACCCAACCCCATACCCTACGGTCACTTCGTGCTCACTGTTTGAGATCAAGGTCCCGGATTTGGCCAATCCCATGGCGATCTGACCAACCACAGGGCTGAGAGCGAAATTCAGATGCCCGAGTCCGACAGAACACCTGTGGGGAAGGACACAGCCTACCTTCATGTCCTTTGAGGGTGGTGATAACGGAACAGGTGTTCTGTTCCAGCTTCAGCAGGGTGATCTGTCCAGAGTAATCGCCAACGAAAGCGTACTGAGTATCAAAATCGTACCTGTGGGGAGCAGTCAGGGATCTCTAACACAGTCCAGCTCCAAGTTATAAGGCAGAAAGTGTGCGCTTTAGACAGAGGGTGCACAAGCCTAAAATGACGAACAAGGATGCCCAACTGAAAAGCATGCTATCGGCAAACACTGAAGAAAAAGTTTTAAGCTGGAATCATGGCAGCAATTAATATTCAATCATTCAACAAGAACTCATTGAGTACCTGTTATTACTGTAACCAATATCCTAGAACCTGGCAGTAAAAAAGGTAAGAGCTGACAGAAAAGTCAGGCATGAAAATAAGTAGTTACAATCAAATTCTAATAAAATGCAAAAATGTAAAATACTCAATAATGAACAAAGCAAGAAGGAACCGGAAGAAAACGGCTCTTTATGAAACACCCGCGGAAATCATGCAACATCGACAGCCAGCCCGACACGAGCCCACCTCTCCTTTGGCCTGGATGGCTTAGCCCAAAGCAGAGAGGATGGTTCACCGTAAGTGGCGAGAGTTGAATACACCAAAAAGCAGGGCAACAGCAAACTTAAACTTTAAAAATATATTAACTCGTCACTTTCCCAGTGACGTTACAGCTCTAGAAATCTGTGGCAGATCAGCAGCTGGCACACAGTAGGGTAACGACTATTTCAAGGTCAGAGGGAGCACCACGGGCCGGGCCGTCCTGGCAGTTCTGGGCCCTTTCCTGCCGCCCCACGTGAAAAGCCTAACTCAAAACTGAAACACGTATGTAGCACATAACATATCTGAGTGTTTTCCCTTGTTTCATTCTAAAGTGTACAGCACTGTTTTAAATATCTCATGCTGCACGTTCCTTTATAACAAACATTTTTTATGAAGGCTTTCCATGGGAAAAAAAAAAACTTTACGCCGCCAGATGTCCACCCCTGAAAGAGAACTACAACAGAGCCTTTGCCTGCAGACGGCCTTGACCTTGCCGTCACTAAGAAGCACAGCCACCACAGCCAGCCTTAAGCAAGGGCGAACTCTATGTGAAAAAGATTCCATTACGTAACAGAGACATTTAAAAGCAGCAATATCATAACTATTTGGGGGTGCTGAAGCACCTTTGAGAGTATTATACGAATGATGAACTCTCTCCTCATATAAAAAAACTATGACCTTGTTGCCCATTTATGAACTCCAGGGTCACAAGCCTTACTATATTTCTATTCTATTGCATGGTCTGTAAATAACCAATCACTAGAAGGTCAATTCCTTCTTTTTTCCTTTCTTAATACAAAAAGTCTTTTCTTTTACTCTGAAGTGTAAAGGAATGAGGGGAGGGATTTGTATTAATGGGGGTTAGGTTTCTCAAGATTTTCTATTAAAAGCATATAGTACTTCCCAGCAGGGAATGATATCCATCTATTATTTTTAATAAATCAATTTTATACCAAGAAAAGCAGATACAGCAATTCTTAGATTTTATGTGAAATGTCAGGAATCACTCAGTCTTTGGATCTCAACAATTTATTCTTTTTTAAAAATTTGTTCTTTTAATTTTTTAAAAATCTTCATTGGAGGACATTTTTATTGCTCTTAGAGAGAGGGGAAGGGCAGTAGAGAGAGAGAGAAGTAGGGAGGGAGAATGGGAGAGGGAGGGAGATAGAGAGAGAGAGAAACATCAAGGTGAGAGGGAGACATCAATCAGCTGCCTTCCCATATGTGCCCTGGCCGGGATCAAACCCACTACAACCTGTGGGTACCCTGACTGGGAATCAAACCCACCACAACCTGTGAGTGCCCTGACCGGGAATCAAACCCAATACCCTTCAGTCTGTGGGATGACGTTCCAACCAGCTGAGCCACACTGGCCAGGGCTGCTCTTTATTTTTTTGTTTGTTTGTTTTTTCTTTCTTTTCTTTTTGTGTATTTTTTCTTTTTTTAATTTTTTTTTAAATTTTTTTGGTTTTGCTTTTCATTCTCTTTTTATTCTATTTTTTGGGTTTCTTTTTGTCAATCAACGTGTTCAAAACTGATTTTCGAGACAAGAAGGCCAGAGCAGACAAAGCCCCAGCCCTTGAAAGGATACTGCAAGCACGAAGCCCAGGACGTGAAGAAGTGCCTCCCGAGCGCGTCCCCGCTCCTGGCGCACATCCAGCTGACACACTTGTCGTGGCCGGTGCTAACCACCCACTCCGTGGCCAAGCTGAAGATGATCGCGGACACCCGGTTCTGGTGAGCTGCAGGAACAGAAAGGGAAAGTCTGCGCCCTTCAGGAAGAAATGAGGCCTTCAGAATCCAGTCTCCTGGGTGAGAGCGGAGGTCGGCCTCCTCGGCCTGGCTGGCCTGGGGATGCCCATCAGTGGTGGTTCCCCGTCAGTAGGTCATCTGCCCTGCCCTTGACCCTCCCTCCGTCTCAGGCTCCCCACAGCCCCGCCCTCTGCCTCCCGCCACACAGCAGACAATCAGAAGCTACACATCATTAAAGAGTAATGCTCAAGAGGGATTCCAGTAATAGATTAGAGGACAGATTTTTACTCTGCTCTAAAAAACTGTGACTACCAATGAATTCCACATGGAAAGCAGCACTTTTTCTAAAAGAGTAATTTTTTTAAATTGTCTGTAACTTTAGTGTTTTGACCTGTTAGAAAACGTTGGCATTGTAAACAAGAGCAACTATAATTTTCTGAAATTAAAAAGCAGTGTAAGCAACTTGTGTGCAACTTTTTATTATTTATAAAGACAAAGTATGATGAAATTCTATATTCCAAAAGTAGCTGAGAATGAGGGAAGTGTTCCATGACCTACCTTCTGGAAGATTTGTGCCTCCAGGTTAACTGTAAGCCACACAAGGGCAGTGACCTGTCTACTTCATCTGGTCTGGTATCCTGCACGCAGCAGGTGTTTAAGACATGCCCAGTCTGATGAATGAAGTCAGAGGCCAGACAGAGGAACCTCTAACCTTGCTCTCGGCTGTACAGGCTGCTTCAGAAACACTGAGGAACTCTCTCATAAATTAACTAGAAAGCACTACGGCTCCCTGGGAGTATGGGCAAAAGCATGAACAGATACTCATAAAAGGTGACCGAGGGTTAACATTAAAGAAAGCATAAATAAAGCTTCAGGACTACTCTGACTGTCAGACCGCATACAGCACTTACAAGGGTAACGCCGCCAAGACTGAGCGGCAGCCCTCTCCGCCCCCACCCATGCGGCTGCAGGGGTGCACGGTTGCTGGGAAGTGGCTTGCAAAACAAATCTGGAGCATTTACAAACTTTTTAGTACTTGGCCCTGTTACTCCACTTTTATGAATTACCTTAAATAGAAGTAGTTTAAGGACACGCACACACCTATATACACACATATGCAATACACACACTCACAGATGTATATACACGTACATACATATTTGCTATCATATGTTAGTGGGTACTATCAAAGAATGGAAGCAGTACTCATGCTCAAAAATAGAGGGCTGGTTCAATTAACTCTGACACATGTATCCAAATGGAACGGCATCCAAAATCTCAAGTGTTCATAAGCAGGAAAAGAATGGCAAATAATTCCAAAGAGCTAACAGCCTCTCATGTAACTGGGGCAACAAAACTAAAAAGTTACTGTGAAAACCTGATTTGATCCCAAGAGCTGGTGCCCCAGTTGAGTGTGTGTAGATCTGTGTGTGTTGTGTATGGCCAGTGTGTGTGTGGTATAGTTACCTGGGTAGGTCTTGATAAAGTTCATTTTATTAAAATCTTCAGAAACATGAAATTCCTAAAAGTAAATATATGCAGTAAGAAAACAGTTATGGTTTTAAAAACAATAGGAACTTAACTTGCAAAACAAAGTGAAATCTGGAGGGGGAGGTGGGAGGGGATACTGGGGAGGGGGAGAGGGGAAGGGCTTCAGGAATGACTATAAAGGACTCGTGGACAAAACCAAGGGAAGGGGAGGGGGTGGAATCAGGGGAGGGAAGGGGATGGCTGGGGTGGAGGGAAAAGGCAGAAAACTACTTGAACAACAATAAAATTAAAGCAAAACAAAACAAAGTGAAATCCAAAACCAGCCGTCACCAGCCCTGGGACTCCAGACTCTCTAACAACTCGCATTCTCCGAGTCAGACCAGTCCCCAGGCCGCCCTCCGCCCCTGGTCCCCTCGGGGGAGCCGACTGAGGAGGGGAAGCTCCGCTGCCCAGCACAGCCTTTGCACCCAGTCCCTCCTTCACAAGGCAGCGCCTGGAATTCCCTCTCCCTCTGACTGCAAAGGAAGCGTCTTATTAATTTTCCTCTCTTGGCTGTGCCCAAAATTCCTCAAGATGATATGTATAAAGCAAGGTTGCAAAGACCCATTACTAACTGAGTCCTCAGCTACAGTGGAAATAAAACATAGGGTATTTCAGCAATGTACGGGAGGAATTATATGTATTTAATACATAAATCCACACAAGAAAAGGAAATTAAGAGGTTGTGGGTGGTATCCATTTTTTATACTCTTGTAATCTCCAGAGTTTATAGACTATGTAAGGCTTCATAATTAGGAAAAATTTAATAGTATATACTTCTTAATGAAAGAAAATGAGCTTCAACATAAAACCAAGAAGATAACACTCTAAAAAAAAAAGGCCCTAATCAAACATTCTATTGACCAATGCTGGATCAATATGTTCTTAATGCTCTAGGTACATGGACGTTGTAAATTGCTCACTGCTCAGACTGAAAAAAATAAGAATACTAATCCCTTGTTCTCCATCCTGGTTTCACAAACTCCAAAAAAGTATTAGCATTTCACAGATACGGATCTGTGCTGCTGGGTGGGAGGTCGCCAGATCAACAGCTAGTTAACTGAGGGTGAACTGGGTTTGCACCGCCCCTTCCCGCTGAAGGGCACTCAGAGCTCCTGCAGGCCAGCCTATCACATGCGCCCCCGCACCGGGGCCACGGGAAGGGCCCCTCCCTAGGAAAGTTAATGCACAGCCATCGCCACCACTGGAGAAGCTGTTTGAGGCTTGCAGTTCATGGCTCCTTGTTGTATTTGTACATACACTTCACCCATAAGGTTCTCCCATAAATCCCATAAAATTTTCAGGAGAAAAGCGAGAATGCTGGCATTTACCATTACATACTATATTTATAGCAGCCCCAAGCTCAGGGGGCATCGACCTAACCAACCCCAACCCCACAGCACCGGGTTCCTCCCCACCTGCCCTCTACTGAGTGGACTCTTTGGGCCGAGAACCTGCCTTCCACTGGCCCTTTCCTTCTTGGCCCAGAGAGACACAAACAACAAACACAAACTGAAGAAGAAACAGACGATCTGTAACAAATGAAGTGATTAAATCAGTAGTCAGAAAACTTTCCACTATGAAAAACCCAGGACACCAGATGGCTTTTCTGGTACCTGCTTCCAAGCCGCAGGTCCGAGTCTCTTACTGTTCAACAAGTTTTTTAAAAAATTAAAAAAGGGCTTGGATATTTCTCCAAAGGAGATACAAAAAATGACCAATGAGTGTATGGGCGGCATGCATCACTAGTCATTAGGAAAATGCAAATACAAACCACATGACATGCCACTTCACACCCACTAGGATGGCGAGAGTAAAAACAAAACAAAAACAGCAGAAAATAACAAGTGCTGGCAATGATGTAGAGAAACTGGACCCTATGCATCAGTGGTGGAAATGCACAATGCCTTGGCCACTCTGAAAACAGCGCAGTGGTTCCTCGGTGAGTTAAACATGGACCCACCATATGACCCAGCAATCCCACTCCTAGGTATGCATACCCAGTGGAATTTAAAACTTAGGTTCACACACAAGCTTGCACACGAATGTTCACAACAGCATTATTCATAATAAACACAACGTGGCAACAGCCCAAATGTCCATCAACTGAAGGATGGATAAACAAAGTGTGTCTATCTCCGTAATAAACAAAAAGGAACGAAGTTCTACTTCAGACTCCGATGCAGATGAACCTTAAAGCATTATACTAAGTGAAAGAAGTCAGACATCAAAGGCAGATCCTACTTCCACAGAATGTCAGAACAGGCAAACCTCTGGACTCAGAAAGTAGATTAGTGACTGCCAGGAGCTAGGGGAAGGGGCAGTCGGGAGAGACTGGTAACAAGCTAGGGGTTTCTTTGGGGGAGGGGTGTGGTGAACACGTTCTGGAATTAGAGAGTGTTAATGATCGTATAATCTTGTGAACGTACCACCAAACCACAGAACTGCACACTTTAAAATGGTGAACTTTATGGTATGAATTATATCTCAATTCAGAAAAAATAGATATGTACACACACAGACACACAATTTGACCCACAAAAATACCGATCTACAGTACATTGGGAAACGTACACATCTGGTCCTTCACCAAAGATACCCTGAGAAGCACTGTCTTAAAGGGCTGCTGCACGAGCCGTCGGCTAAATGCCGGGTCCCTCACCGCGTGCTCCTTCCCCTCCTCGTCACACTCACACGCCCAGGCTCTCCGCCACGCTCTCCTCCTCGCATGGCCTCCGTTGTGGCCCAGGGATGGAGACTCCGCTTTGCGGGCTACAGCCCGAGCACCCGCCATCCATGGTGACAGCATTCTGAGTTCTACAGATCTAACTGGTTTAACATTAGGCACTCATTAAAATTTTAATCCATTTTTAGGTCTAAGGCCTGCATTGAATTCAACATTGTTTATGCCACATTCATTGCTAACTTTACTTAAACCGTCCAACAGACGTGAACTTGGGGAGGCCAGTGCAGTGGGTACGGTCTGGGAGGCACCTACCATGACGGCCCCGTTGTCCTGGCCCACGAATATCCGCCTGCTGTCGTGGTGGTAAGTCATAGCAGAACAGGGAGCTGCCGGGGAGACAAAGACCACGTTACCAGCAGAGCGAAGCACTGTCACTGTTCAAAGTTCACTACTAAAAAGAGCTACATGATTTAGGTTGGACATTTAAAAGGGCAACATGACTTTGTAAAAAATAAAAATGATGTAAACTGAAAATGCTATTGGAATTCTTTCTGTTGCTTTTGTTTAAAAATCTCATACACAATTATTTTTAGAACTTTGGGTGAAGCGATTCAGCACGAAGTTCCGTCTGGCTGAAACCCCGACCTCTTTCTGGAAAGGTCTGGGGGGACCAGCACTTGCAGCGGGCAATCTGCACCCAAACTCAGCCCGCTGTCCCGCCCCCGCCCCTGTTCCCATCGCAGGTAAGAGGAGCTGTGGTCTGAGGAAATGGGGCTCCCAGCACCACGCTTCCATTCTAAGGCATCTGTGCACAAGCTGAAAAGGCCATTTTGGAATTACTTCCCCCCACCATGGCCAAAAACCGTTCCCTTGTGCAATGACACACACCACAGTGTGTAGTTAGTGAATTTATGAGGTGTAGACACTTTTCGCTGTCCACACCAGTCGGGGGGCTGGGTAGCACCTGCTGCTCCTCCCCTACAGAGGCCCCTCCAGGCTCTAGCTGCCCTTCCAGAGTATGCGGGCCCAACGGCAAGTTTCAGAAAGGAGAAACTCCGCATCGTCTCCTGCTGCTACAGATCAGAATTAACACAATTCAGAAAATGGAACATTAGGCCCTGGCTGGCGTAGCTCAATCGACTGAGCGCGGGCTGCGAACCAAAGTGTCGCAGGTTCGATCCCCAGTCAGGGTACATGCTTGGGTTGCAGGCCATAACCCCCAGCAACTGCACATTGATGTTTCTCTGTTTCTCTCTCTCTCTCTCTCTCTAAGTGAATAAATAAAAAAAAATCTTAAAAAAAAGGGAACATTAGGAAAAAGAAGTGTTGGGGTTTATTTGAGCCTAAAGAATTTTAACTGACAGTGGGAGAACCACAACAAGGAAAAATAACAACAAACAAATTTGAGTTTACTCTGAAATAAAATTTCTTATGAAAAAGTGAAGCAAAAAAACCTTACAGATGAAGCCACTGTCTGAAAATTGTTTAATGTAAAGTTCTCTCTCCACAATGGGCTGACATGCTCCAATGAAGGAGAAAAATGAGCTAGTGTACATAATATTGGATTGTACTCTAAGGCAGGAGCACAGCTACCGGCGTGGTCGGACTATGGAGACAGACTGTGTGAGATGCCGCCAAAGAACGATCTGGTTGAAAGGCAGGTACTACGTTTGTCCGCACATGAGACAATCAAAAGTGACAAGAAGCCTGTACACCCTCATCCACAACGTTGGTGTTGAAGCTGCAAAGAACGGTCATGTTTAAGAATTATAACCACCAAGATATATACATCCTCAGAACAGAGCTCTTTAATATCCATGCATAAAATCATCATTGGCGAATCAATTCACACTTTAATACTTTCAAAGACTCACTGTCATCATTTTTACTTACTTTTCAGTTGGTACTAAATCTTAAGGTTTTATCCTCCTTTTCCATTCTTTCTATGCCTAACACTCCAACAAACTGTACATAAATATGTAAGATCTCTCATCTGTGTCAAAATCACAGTGTGCTGAGATATTTGATGAGACCACGAAAGACTTACAGTTGAAACAAAAAGCTTCCTCAGTTTGTTTTGTATATAAAGATGTCCTGGCTTTTTAAATTTACTTTCTTCCTGGAAGAGAAGCTTCTATTGAGATAAGCAATATTTTTTTAAGTTTCTCAATTCATATAGTTTTATAAACAAACAAAATAGAAAATCGGTGGCCTTTCCAAAAGGCATCGCTGTGATCCAAAACCACATGCTTTAGTTTTGTAAATAAAGTATTCGGGGGTTTTTTTGTTTTGCAGCAGCACAGCCAGCCTCCTTCTTTAGCACGGTTTACGGTTGCTCTCATGCTACCAGGGCAGGAAGCTGAAGAGCCGCACAGAGACCGGCCCTTTCAGAACAAGGTCACGGACCCACTCCATAACCGTGGCAGCGGCCAAGTTTTGGAGTCAGACAGGCGTGGATGGGAACTCCAGCCGCAAGCGATCAATGTAACCCCTCTGGCCTATTTCCTCACCTGCTGATGGTGAAACATCATCGATCTCCCTAAGGTGTGATGATTTCATAAAGTGACATTATCTTTTAAAAAGGCACAAAGCACGCAATAGACACAGACAGGAAGAAACACTGTTTTTCTTTAGCTAAAGCAGATTCCGAAAGTTATCTCTGCGATGGGAGGCAATGTTCTGTAACTCCGTTGGACCGTGTGCAGCAGTATGCTAAGGTTTGGCTCGCTGGTCGCTGTCAGGTCGTAGAAAAAAGTCTCAGCTGGTGGGTGACCACTAAAATGTCCTGAATTGGGTAATCTACAGAAAGTTTTTAGAGCCGACACAGCACTTTTCTTCTCAGATTTTGAATTTATTTTGAAGTCATTCTAAAACAGACAAGTGACTGTTTCTCACAATTCATTCGCTGTTTTCTTCTGGCAATGTTTCTGCATTTTTATTGGCACATACATCTACAGATGCCTGCAATAAGGAAGCTTCTGGAAGCAACAAGACAAATATGTGTGGGTGCAAATATGCGGGTGTCAGCCACCACCAGCAGAGACGCTGGACCTGTTCTTTCCAGTTTTTACTGGTCTTCTCAGCCACAGTGCTCTGGGAGCCACTTCCAGAGGGCACCTTTAGGACAAGTTAGCAAAGGACGGCCACAGCCATGTGCCCAAATCCTAAGAGCCAAGGAAGAGTCCCCACTTCCACTGACAGGTTTTGGTGCCCTGGGAGAGAAACTAATCACAATACTGTGTACTAAACATTTGGGAGAAGTACAAGTCAAAGAGTAAAGGGATTAAATGTAGAACAAAACCCATCTTTGTCTCCCTCTGTCTCTCTATTTTAATGAGCATGAACTCCAAGGTTGAGGACTCAAGGAGGTTAAGCTATGTTTCAAATACAAAGTATGGGGGAAAAAAGAGATGGGAGGAATCACGGCCCTAGCTTTAACACGCCTGCTCACAAACATGACGAAACACTCCCCAGCACTGGAATGGGTTCCTCCGTTCTGCTGTTTCCAGCTACCAGGTCTATCCTTGGGCCACTGGAAGGAGTAACCAGTCTAAAAGAAGCCCTTTCTTTGGTTGGGGGAAGGGTGGGCTCGGAGGCCCAAGGTGTCCCACCCGCCTGTCCCCCCCCCACTCCAAAAAAAATCCCCAAGGAAATTTATCAAATGGGCTCTATGAGCACCTCTATTAAAACATTGGTCACGTGGTATTTCAGAGGGGGAACCAAGGTCATGCATCAACAGCATATGGCAAACAGGAGACACTACTGCTCCACACAATAAACTGTGATTAAGCTTTCTTCTAATGGGCTCCAAATTAAAAGGCTCTCAGGTGCCTTTTATAATAGCTGTCTTTACACAACCAGTCCAAAATGTGTACTTCATTTTTGCTGAATGGTTATCCAGACAGAGGAGCTGAGGAGCCTGCCCAAGCTGGAGGTGGAAGGTAGAACAAGTGAAAATCCAGATAAACTAACTCATGTTTTGTAGTGACTGATCACAGGGTCTGGACAATGCACGTACATGTGGAAATGAGAAAGTGCTGGCCCAGAACGGGGGTGCCCGGGAGCATGCCTCACACTGACTATAGGGAGTCTGCTGAATAATTAGCTGCTCTGTGCGTATAACAAACTCCACTGCCTCTGGAACAACTCTTACAAAAGTTGTTGCCAGTGTCTGGAATAACTAGCAAGAGGTCTTCTTTAGGGAACTTCATAAGGGTCTTCAGAAGCAAAACCATCTAGCATGCCCCAAAGCCTTTTTTCTTTTCCCAGAAGTTCCTCTACATACTTGGAACCCTTAACTGAGCAAAATCCCTTATTAGGGACCAAAACCACAAGGAAATGAGCAGCTCTGGATGGCCTCTGTGTGACCACTCAGGACGGCAGGGTTCAGCCCCAGCTGGGGCCTGGGTGGGATCCCGGCATCCTCCACGGGGTTTCGTTTTGCAGAAAGGATGGAAACAAGAAGAGGGAGAGAAGGATGGCAATTAGGTCTGCATGGAGGGCTAGAAACAAATGCAAGTTTATGTCAGTACAGCTCAGGGCTGTGCTAAAAACCTCAGTGCAAGAGGCTGATCCTTTAGATGTATTTTTAGAACACACTTAGCTACTGAGAAAATTATCTATTTAGAATGTGCTGTGCCTTGGACCAAACCTCTCATCGGACCCCAGAGGTTTGTCAAAAGGGTGGGCAAAAGGCCAGTTATAAGGGCATAGGGGGTGTACAGAACCTGTTTCAGGGTATCGGCTATTACTAAGTACAAAGTCACTACTAGGACAAGGTGGCAAAATTAAGGAAAACTGAGGGTCAGGGTGACAGGGCATGCCTCCCCCCCCCCCTCCAGTTTTGCTCAAGTGTGCTTCAGTTGAGCCAGGAGACCAAACTTCCTTTGCAAAAGAAAAGGCGTTTTCCTGCAGTTGCCAGGCACAGGCTGCCGGAGGTATTGGGCAACCGGGAAGCTCATTCTGAAATCTAGCAGCACGTTTTAATCAGACATTTTGAAATTCAATCATCAAAGACATTCGAGACATTTTCCTCAAGTGGAACGGTGACCGCTACTTACAGGCCATTGTGTGGTAAATGCTGGGCCAGTACTGGCCGCTGTCTCTCTTCAGCCATACTCGGAGGGTTCTATGGAGAAGAGAAAAGGAAAAACAGCAAGTTTACCTTCTTTTATGCTCCTGTGAAACTGACTCATTTTATTGGCAATACTACGCCCCACCTGACGTTACACAGTGAACCCACTGGGCAGACCCACGCAGGGGTGGGCAGGGGTAGGCCCGCAGTTGTGAGTAAGCGGAACAGAGCCAACGAAGCTATTGTCGTGATCACAACCTGCATGTCCTTCCATGCGAACCAGCTGTAGCCCTACGTTTGCTCACCCCTGTACATAGACTCACGTTCATATAGTATATAATGTATTTATATATAGTACCTATGCTACAGGCGCACACACGTTATATATAGTTACATATAGTATGACCACATATGGTAAGTTATATAGTAGTTAGGAGTCAGGACTTCAAATAACTTTGACAATATAGAAAATGCGCATTGTCTAATGACCTACATACCAACAAAACTGAGATTACTAACTGCTTTTCTTGGTAAAAACAAACCGGGAACCTGGTCGCTTGACATCTGAGCCAAGTGAGGCGAGTGGCAGACACACGGGGAAGGAAATGTTTCTGGAACCGGGAGACGGGGGAGCGGAGCCCACGCTGCCGTTCATTCACCCAGAACTCGCGTCTCCAGGCCCCGGGCGGAAACCAGTCCACGACCGGCCTGCCCGCCCGCCCCTGCTCTCATCAGAGACCATGCAGGAAGACAAGGAAATCCGGTGCACAGGCAGGAAAATGACAAATCACCAAAACAGTCAAAATTTAATCCTTTGGCTTATCGCTGCGGAAAAAGAACAGGGAATGCGGTGACCCTGCTCGCCCACTCGCAGCACCTGCGTGCTCACAGCTCCAGCCTCTGCCTCTCCTGCGCCCCGCCGCGGCGGCGCAGCCGCACTGCGCCTGCACTCCACCTGCACAGCGCCTGCACAGCGCCTCCTGTCTGCCTCCCTCGCTGACAGCGCAGTAGCAGTCGTCCCCCAATTCCGAACAGCAACACAGAAGTCGGCACACAGCCAGCACTGGACTGATGTTTACAACCTTGAACTAAAGTAACATAAAGGACTAAATGTTGACACTGTATGTGTCCATTGCGCCTGAAGTTGAAGACAAGTAAGACTGGTCCGAGAGGATAACAGGTTTGCTTCTGTGGGAGGGCACAACGCAAAGGAAGAGGAGGGACCGTGCTAGGACAGTGACTGGCAAGGCTCTGGGGACTTAGTTACATGGGTGTCTGCATTTGTGTCAGAACTTGCCCAACTGCACCGAAGATCTGTCGAGAATGCTCTATACGATTAGACTGTCATAAAAGAAAACGAAGACTAGATGTTGACCTGCATTCATTCAAATAAATCGGACGACCCGGTGGCATGACGTTATTTTGTATGTGAACTGGACACGGCCTTTCTGCAGGAGCAGGCATTTGCACAGCACGCCCTCTCCTCCTGCTGCTGCTGCCTGGTCACAATGGAACTTCTGCCAAACTGAATCACCCACAATTTTCCTTTACATCCTACCCCTAATCCCAATAGGCTAGACCAGAAATGGGCATCTGACCCTAGGCAGATAAACTGCTTCCTTCCCTGGCAAATCTGAAACCAAGAGAGAGAAAAACAGATCAGTACGTCTTCAGTAGCTGAAATGGCTGTTCCCGGTCATATGGGACTGGAGGGATGTGCACATTAAAAAAGAAAAAGGAGTGGGGGGGAAGCTGCCTGTGGAGAGAAGCAGAAGTGAGCTGAGGAGGGCTGAGGTGGAAAGTCCATCATGCCAGCTGCTCCTGGAACCGAGCTGTGTCCCTAGACTCGGGTTCTGGGAGGCAGACACCCCCGCGTCCTCACCATAAACACCCTCAGCGGCCTAAGCCAGCCTGAGTTATTTCTGTTGTTTGCAATAAGCAGAAATACTAATATACTATGTCTGCATGAGACACCAAGAAATATCCCAAACATAGTCTCCTCGTTCAAATGCCATTTAGCAGGGTAATATAAATCAGGCAGGTCTTTTCTGAGGTACGTATATTGTGACAGGAAGTTCAAGAAAGCCCAAGTTCACATCCATCACTAAAAGGCAGAGAGGGAGATCACACTAAAGCATGTGTGAACAGACCTATGATTTCTATGGTTTATAATTTAACACCTTAATTCAAAATTTAACACTTTCTGTGGTAATGTTTAAACCGCTTTGTTATTATTTGTGGGTTCTTGGTTACTGTTCAGGATTACTTGGGTTTCCTCTTACAAACCTCAGAAATTAAAACTCTTTCATGATATGCCTCTTGTTAGGTGTGAACCATTTGAACCAAGTCATAAAAATATTTAATGGCATGAGAAAATATTCATGCTGTGATGGTAAGTGAAAGCCCTATACAAAACTGATAAGTGCAGTATGACACCAACTTCATTTTAAAATGCAACCTGACCAAACCTCTATAGGAGGTTTCCAACTTTATAGGAAGCAGAAGAACATTATAAACCCTAACTCGGGAGGGCTTTTAGCAAAAACTGGGTGTGCAGGAAAGTCTATAGACGAAGGACCCAGTTTTTTTCTGCAAATAATTTGCAAGGGAGGAAAAACAGAGGCGGAGAACCAGCCTGTGATTAAAGAGGTTTAAGAGGCATATCAAGCAATCACAGTGCATGGACTTGTTTGGATTCTGACTCAGTCAAACTATTAAATAGACCTATATCATTTCATATATCATTATGAAACAATGGAAAAGATGGACGCTGACTAGCTATTTCACGGTTTTTGCGTGTTTGATTTTTAAGAACAAGCAATAATTCCTAAGAGAGATGCTGGCTCTCGCTCTCTGGTCTCAGCATGCCCGCCACAGTGCAGCTTCCTCTCAGTCACCTGGGCTCCCCACCCCTCCCCCCCCGGCCCACCTCAGGGGTGTCACCTAGCAGCGACGACGTCTCCCAAGGAGCCAGGCACCCCGCTGTCCCTGCGCTCAGAGCCCACCAGGGGCTGGTTGTTTCAAATCAAAGTTCAACGGACACGCTCAGTGCCTGTGACTCCCCGACCCAGACCCTGCAACCCAGGGAGATGTGACCCTCAAACGGCCCAAATACACGGAGCTCAGGGTATGTGTAAGTGCTCCTTCCCCACCGAGAACTCCCCTCTCCAGGTGCAGTGGTTCATCGGGGCACATTGCAGGACGGGCACCCCTGCAGTATGGCTCCCTCATCAGAAATAATCAGTAGACACTTACAGTGGTGATCCTGAGGCCAGAACTACTAACACTATACTGCATTTTGTTGACTATATTCTGTTACCTAACGTAGAACGCTTATGGATACATTTTATTACTCACGTTCAATATCGGAGATGAAGCCAAAGGAGTTGTAATAAGTGAAAGGCCACCTCCCCCCCAAGCACTGAATCTGCTCAAGGATTCTGCTCCGTTTCCAGAGACAGGGAAAGCCCAGGCACTTGAAGACTAGGGTGTCATGCCATGCTTTGTCAAGTTCACTGGCCTTCACTCACACAGGATCACACAGGGGTTGAGCCTACTGGCTACCTGGCCGTTTGGTTTTTTTAAGTGTCTACAGAACAGAATGCTGACATATTCTAAAACCCTTCAAATCACCCCAGAAGTGTGGGTCATGGATGTGTAGGGAGCTCAATGGAGGACACAAGGCCATGTGCCCGTCCCCATGTCCCCCGAGAGGAGAGCAGACTCAGGCAGCAGAGAAGTCCCTGTGAGCAGGGAACCTTAAAGGGTGTCTCTTCCAACCAGTCACCTCACCTGGAAGTCACATTTTCATTTCATGCAGCAGCAGATTGGTATTTAGAGTAGCCCAAGGTCAAAGAGGAACCTGCCCAGAACCCGGCATTTTTGAAACAGTTTTATTTCCTTTGGAGGGCAAATCACCAGTGGGCAAATCACCAGTACCACAACGTGGTCTGCAGCCAGCTGACACACCAGGAAATCAGCAAGACTTGAAAGATCTCCTGGGGTGTTTCATTTGAAAACTGTTCATCACGTCCAGGCTGAGAGGAGACCGTGCTTGGGAATCAGGTTCCAAATGAGGCCCTTGACCTTAACAGTCGGCTCTACCTCTGTATTCGCACCTTCTATCTGGAGTTCCCTTCCTTCAATTTTCAAGCTATATTCTTTCCCTTCCTTAGACAATGCAGTAAAATTTCCCACTTGCAAGATTAAATCAAAACACTCCAGCACTCCCAAGAACCTATCGGTCATGAAATTCCTATTAAGTAATGTAAGAATTTGTTGGATGTTTTCTTCAGAACTCATCTCGCTGGTTTAACAAATGGCTGTAAAAACAGGCTTAAGTTGGGCTGCTTATTAAAAAGTCAACAAATTCCTTAGACCAAAAAAAATGTGCTATTCAGGAAACTGGAAGCAAGATCTGCTATTCAGTAAATTGAAAGTAACACAATAATACAGTTTAGTAACATTTTACAGGAACAAACCATTAAAAACTCTACAATAATACTAATAAACCATACAATCACGAAAGTGTCAAGATCAGATGGCTTTATTTTTATGAAAACCACAATATTTTCTGCATAGAGGAATGTCTAAGCCGTTCTCTCCACTAAGATAAAACAGCTTAACTTTTCCTTCAATATTTTGACAACTTTACTCCCACTCAAACGCATTCCGTTTTTCTTGCTGTTACTCCCTCCATTTTTCTAGTGGATGGACTTTCTTTCATATTCCAAGGCTAGGTCCGTTTTTAAAAAGTCTTCTCTTGAACCAAAACATGAGAAACATGTTCATTCTGTGCCAAGCTCTATTTTGTAGTCACTTGAAAACAATAATCTGACATTTTTCCAAAAGGTACTTGGAAAGGAAATGTGTCATTCCTGTCAGGGCCTACGCAAACGCTCACCCCACTTCCCCACGCTGCTAGCGTCCTTGTGAAGGGGGCTCTGCCAGCAGTCTCCTCGGCCTTCTTGTTAGAGGACGGACTCACAGACAGCGGCGGCGTCTTCCACGGACACACAAGAGAAGCATCTCTATATTATATATATATATACGAG